GCTCTATAGTTGTGCGTGTTGTCTGCTGACAACTGTCCAAGTATTTCCAGTGGTTGTCCCTTCAGGCTTGTTGCCAGGTGCACTGCTTTCTGCTCCTCTGTACATCCATTCATTTCTGGCAGTAGCTCAAATTGTGTTCTATATGCTTCCCACGGTGCCTTCCCATTGAATTCCTGTGGGTTTCTTCATACTAGATCACCCCTATTGCTGACACTCATGTCTTGAATGTGACTTCTGGCAGGACTGAAGGTGTCTGCATTAGGGTTGAGCTGTGAGGTCTGGAAGGGCTTCCTGTTGTCTTGGGCTGATTAGGTTCATGGGCAATATATTCTCCCTGTGTAAAAGACAGTAAATTGTTCTTTAATGTATTTAATTCACTTTGAAATTTACTAATTTTTTCCATTTGTACTTCATGCTGATGTTGTACTCTCTCTCCTTGTTCTTCTTGCCACTGTTGCTGACTTTCCTGTAGTTGTTGGAGACTTTCTTCCTGTTTCTTTTCTTGTTCCAGTTGCTACTGGTGCTGATTTTCTTGCCACTGTTGTAGTCCCTCTTCTTGTTTATTTTCTTTCTCCTTCAACCACTGCTGTAGTCTATCTTCTTGTTTATTTTCTCATTCTTCTTGTTTCTTTGATTTTTCCTCCAACAACTGCTGTAATCTCTCTTGTTTATTTTGCTGTTCAAGCTGCCATAGTTGTAGGTTTTCTTGCCATTGCTGTTGTCTCTCTTCTTATTTATTTTCTTTCTCTTCCAACCACTGCTGTAGTCTCTCTTCTTGTTTATTTTCTTTCTCCTCCAACCACTGCTGTAATCTCTCTTCTCGTTTATTTTGCTGCTCAAGCTGTCACTGTTGCAGGTTTTCTTGCCACTGCTGTTGTCTGTCTTCTTGTTTCTTTTCTCGTTCTTCTTGTGTCTTTTGCTTTTCTTATATTGCTGCCATCAAAACTGCTAAGTTGTAGTTTGATTTGCCACTTCTCGTTTACATCTTTTTGTTTTTCCTTTTCTGTCCCACTCTTGACACAAATTTGTTATGTATCTGCTTATTTCTTTGTTTCCGGTAGAAATTCTTTCCGAGGATCTTCAGCGATACAAGTCCTTTCTTGATTAAACCAGTTTATTCTTCCTCTATACAAACTTTTAGTACACAGAAGCTCCACAATCAGTACGTTTCTCGTCACTTAAAACTTGACAACTTTTATAATACACACTATAAATCACAGCGATTCACAATCTCGATAATTTCGCTCTCGACGAGTGCAAAACATACACTTTATGGTTCACGAGCTTGAAATCAGAATCATTAATTATACGGAACTCAAAGTAACTACTGCTCTCTCTTCATTCATCTTTCCCCGCTGGCTTTCACTGCCAGGTTAAAATACTAAAGAAGAGGGCATCTCGGTCATACTCGGACTTCCCGATCATTCGAGAAACTCATCATGCATGCGCCAGCAGCGTCACGTAACTTCCAATGGCTCACGTGACTTTTTACGTGTGCAAACATTTAGTTCAAAATTGAAAGGTTTTTGTTGAATAACTTTGCACATGTGGCTTATGTTTAGATCAAACTTGATACCTAATCATAGGTTGTAAAGATCTATCAGTGTTTCAAATTTGGAAAAAAATCCACAAAAATTGAATATGTTTTTCTATCAAATAAATGTTGGGTACTTTCGATGCAAAGAAAACAAAAAGGAAGAACTTCAAACAAAAGTGGAAATTTTATATCTCTTGTATTTCTTAATAAATTGAATGGAAATTTGGTATGTGAAGTAGCAGTCCAGTAGAGCACATTAACTGAAAATAAGTGAGAGTTTGGATTACCACAGTCTGAGCTACAGAAAGTGGAAAATCGCTAAACTATCGCTCCTGTTTAATAACACACAGTTCGTCCTGCAGGTTGTTTTGGCTGCACGACACACTACAGTGTGTCTTGATATCAAAATATCAATGCATACATCAAATTGCCCTAACACATAAAAATTATGTTACACCGAAGATTTATCAGCATCTTATACCCAAAAATCACCAAGCACAACCCTAAAAAAATTAAAGCATTTAGTAGGATAAAAAGCAGAATTTTAAAACAAGTGTATTATGAAAACCTATATTTTCAACGTTGACTGTTGGTCAAACCAGCGAATTTCCTCTGAAACACTCCTGCATCCGTTTCATATTGTTAAATCACAAATATATTATTGTTCTTATATGTGTGCCCCTTTTACAGGCTGAACTCCAACCTTCAAAAATTCTATATTCGAACCTGACTGTGATGAAAACTTGAAATTTATTTCTAATTTGTCTTCTGTAAATACTTATCAGCTTAGTTATCATTAATAGCTCCGAAGTGGCACAGCGGCATGTCTGCGGACTTACAACGCTAGAACCCAGGTTTCGATACCGTGATTGGCAGAGCACAGACAGACTATTGTGTAACTTTGAGCTTAACTATAACTACAAACAAACTTTGTCGTTAATAATTATTGCCATTTCCTGAAATAATGTTAATTTGATGGTAGTTTGGTAGATCTAAAGCCTAAATCGAATGGCCACTTTATTTACTTGTATTATGAACAAGTGTGAGTAGACCCACGAGAAGTCTTTAGCTCCAGCCTTGTAGACCCTTAATCTGGCCCTGAATGGATTATGGAAATTTGTTGTATTACTATTTGGATTATTCATGCACCTGCTACATTTTGTCTGTGTAATACACTGGAATATCATACTCATCTACTTGGATGAAATAATTATACAGACTTTAGATCATGCTTATGATGGGCTAACAAAAGTTCTGGATCAGCTGAAGAAAGAGCTATAAGCTGAATCCCAAGAAGTGTGAATTGTTCCATCAACATGTGTTTCCTCAGACATGCAATTAGCAGAGAAGGAATGTCTATAAGTCCATCTAAGATTGAATCTCTTCAGAATTGACCAACATCAAAGAAGTTGTGTGACTGTGAGGTAAGATGATTTCTTAGACTGTGCTCTTAATATCATTCACCAGATGGTGAGAAGTATATGTTGATCCTAAACCAGGAAGCAGAAACTTTCAGGAAAACTAAGCAATGAATTTGTTTCATGATATTGGGTGCCTATGGAACTTTATTCAGATCAGCAACTTTTATTAGTGATCCAGGGGCGGGCTGGATGCTGGTTTCTTACAAGTCTGTCTATTTTAAGAGCATTTATTCAGATAAGGAATGGAAAATTGAATCAGCTTTGTTTGCAGAAATTTGTCAAATCTTGGAATAAAAAAATACTAGGACAACAGCCTTTCATCCATATTCCAATGGTATGGTGGAAAGATACAACAATACATTTTGAAATCAATTAGCCATTTTATGTTGATGAACATAAAAAAAAATATGAGATCAAAATTTTCCACTACTACTTATGTAAAGACACTAAAGAATAACATTGATGTAACACATGTCTTTACCTGGGAAAGACTTAAACTCAGCTAGTGATAAAATTAAAAGTCACTATGATGTTGATGCTGGTAATACTGGATTACATCAAGGTGATATGATATGGCTGTACAATCTCTGCTGCAAGTAAGGACAAACTCCAAAGTTAAACAGGTGTTGGAAAGGTAAGTATGTTGTACCGTAAATAATCTATGATGTGGTTTACAGAATCCAGAAAGACAAGTGGTTCAAACCAAAGGTCATCCACTGTGATCATATTTGGAAATATTTTGTCAAGAGAACAGTAAGCTGGTTAACTTTAGAAAAGAATTTTCCAACGGAAAGTTAATCTCCTGAAGAGCTGAGTGTTCCTGCCAAAACAACTTGTAGAGGACTACCAAGGATAGAGCTGCCAGTGGTTTTGCTTGACCATTAACCTAGGAAGAACTTTCCATTGAAAGAACAAGGACCACGTGTGATGGTAAGGGACAAGAGGTATTTTTATATGACATTTCTGTTATTTGGCTAGTGGTTTAATTGTTTTTTTTTCTATAACTCATAGTATATGTAATAAGTGGGTTCTCCTTGTGACAATAAGAATGAATTCAGTGTCACAGTTGAAATAAAAACAGTTGGAAAAAGCCAACTTAAAATCCAGAGCTAGACCCACTACTCATACAAAAAGCTGAAGGAAACTCGTTTAAAAGAAGCATTTTTTTACAGCATTTTAATTCATATATTTGAACAATCCATATAACACATTAATAACTAGAAGTTTTACTTTTAAGACTGTTTCTAGGTATTTATTGAAACAAAGATCTTAGTTTAATCATAATTTGGTTCAAAATAAACTCTTAAGGGAGAAAAACTAGTAATTAGTATAAACAATTCATATTAGAACAATAACATACATGTATACATATAAACATCACACTGCTTAACCTTCAAATATCACAGCAGTCAAAATCAAACAACAACTAATAGTATATGTTAACAGAGTTTTAAATATTTGATCACTTTTTTCTTATTTTGCTACATGTATGACATTAAACTCCAAACTTCTGAAAGCTCTAAAGATATGTGCTTATATTATAATCTATTGTAAACACTAGTGTTAATAACAGAATTTGGCTCTTCAAATAATTTTTTTTTAATTTTTGCATATCTATATATGTTTTTCCATTACCAGACCAAACTATGAACAAAAATACCTTATTTGAAGGACAATTTCAACGTATCATTCAATTTTGTTTAAAGCTGTCTTTTTTGTCACATATTTGGCATATTCTTAACAATATTACTCATTATTTGCAAATGCAAATATGCAAGTATTTTCACTATCAAATATTTTGTAACTTCCTTTTGACTTAAGAGTTAAGCCTAGTTTTCAGTTTACTATATATAGGCTTACAGTATGTCTTCAGTTCATAATATTCGACAGTTTGTTCCTAGAATTATTTTAATTGATTTCATAAAAACAATGCTTATTATCAGTATTAGTAATAATAACATTTCTAATCTTATTATTATTATGATCCTGGAAATGAAACACTTTTCATGAGGATTGTTTATTCTGTATTGATTGTTATCTCTTTCTTTTCGCATGGCAAGGAAAGAATTAACACAAAAAAAAAAAGTGCCTAAGTTGTACTTATGGAAAAAAATTAGACTGTTGTTGCACTTAGCATTGTTGGAATAGTTGCTCAAATATGTTGCACTTGAAATATAGCTGGACTAAGTAGAAATAGGATTAGTATAAGAAAAAGAAATGTGAATTATTCCATTTTTGTGTTCTATAGCTTCATATAATTTTTTGATTGGAAATGAGTAATATTTCAGTAAAATACTGTAAACAAATTATTATACAGTCACTGAACTGCACAGATGTACTGTTAGATTACAAATACTTTTCAAACTTTGTTAAAAAAGAAACTACTCTTTGTGGTTCTTACTTGGTTTTGATTAAATCTTAATTATGTAAATAAAATAAACTATAAAAATTCTGATTTTCAGTATTATTCATATTAAGTGGATTCAAGATTTTACTTCTTTTTTTCTCTGTAGTATGACCATCTGTTTTTCAAATTTACTGTATGTATTGGTGTTGTCTCTTTAAAAATACATTAACAAAAATATATCAGACAGAGGGTTGCAAAAAGAAAAATATTGAAAATACTCCAGAAGTTTGAACACTGTTGAAAAGTTTGCTCTTGAAGAAAATACACTGGAGCTTCTGAGTTGATTTCAGTATCTAATAAATACATTATAAAAGGAAAACACTTCTGTTATTAAATAAGATTATGATTTCAATGTCAATATAAGTTACTTTAATCATTATATTGAAAAATTATTATATAATTTTTTATTTTTTTATACAGATTTCATAAATAAGTCACATGATAATAGTTAATGATTAATAACAAGCATAATTTTCTATCAATCACTCACTTTACATCAATAACAATATTTGACATTTCTGTCATAAAACAGGTATTTAAGTTACATGTACAATGAGCTTTTCTTGGTGTTTATTACTACACCTTGAAAATTTTCATGTCGGACAACTAAAATTTCAAGTTAAATAAGATTACCATTTAAAAATGGCCCTAGTCTACAACAACAAGCTTTTAATTTCTTGCTCCAACAGTTTCGTAAAGCTTTTGTCCATGTATATATATGTTTACTGTTGAAAAACAGGAAGCACACATTGGAATTTTTATAAGTTTTTACAACAAAAAATACTTAGATATTACTTATTATACATTTACAGAATGAAATGGGTGGAGGACAGAGAAGAATGACATTAATTTTTGTCAAAGCTGCCAGAGGATGACTCTTCCTCGATCACCTCATCCATTATGTGACACATCTGCTCTTCTCGCTCATGATCCAGTTGCTCTCTTACCTATATCACATGAATCACTGTCAGTAAGGCTATAACTTACATAAAAAATAACATCATCATACATATACAGTCTTTCAAACTTAACAGGAAATACAAGATGTTTAACACAAAATGACTAATTCAGAAGAAAAAAACAACTAATGCTTAAATTAATAAAATGCATAACATTTGCCACAGTTGTTTACTCTTATGAATAAGTGGGTTTAATGATAGTGATCTTTAAATACTTAAAGTTGTGGTGAGTGGATATAAATCATTTTTATTGTAAGTAACCTATAGGATCAGCCAAATCTAATTATTAATTTTTTATATTACTACATAATAATTACCAGTTAGTTCATAGCCTACATTTTGGCTGTTAATCTCATTCCATCTTTGCAGAAGTCCTTAGAAGGACATTAGATGGTGGCAGGGACCATGATTCAGTCCTGGGCCTTCTTGTTAGAAAGGCTGGTGTGTTATCCAGTTCTCCATGTTTCCTCCCCCCCTTAGGACTTGAATCCTCTATTTGAATGGTTTTAAGAGGAAGTATACAGGTTTTGCCAATTTCTGTGCTAGTTTGACTGGGTGTTTTATTAATTAGGTCGGTGTAGAAAGCTAATTTTATTTTTCGTTTTTCTCTTATGTAGTTTATATCCTATAATTTAGTATTATTCCATTTTATTGTATGGTTTCACCTACACAATGGGCTATTGCAGGTAGATAAATATTACAGAGTTGTGTGTATATATAAATGTATATTATGCTACAGAATTTTGTTTCTCTAATTTATTGAAGTTCACATTCAGAAGGAATGTTCAAATGGTGTTTTTGCTCTCCATTGGTTGTGAGGAGGTTTGGTATGTGTCAACTTCTGTCATGTTGTGTTGGGGCTTCTGAATACTGTTCCTTCTTTATGCTGTCTACACATCCTCTATAAGTTTCTTCCTGCATATTCTTGGTATTGATCTCCTTTATCAAATGTTCAAGGTATCTATGGTCAGGTTTTGGAGAGGTATTTTTCTTCCTTTTTATACCATGTGGTATACAAGTTGTGTGGGTGTTGTTAATCATTGCATAAAAGAATGAGAGTTTATTTTCTTCTGTTTCTGTTATTAATTGTATTGCTGGAAGTTGTCTATTCAGGTGGCTTATATATATACATTTGGGAATCTTATTCTGTAATGTGTGGTCATATTATGTACATATTCTCAACATATTTAAGCCAAATCCTGGAATGACTGTTTTTGAGGTATTATTTTCGAAATGTTCCCCTAGAGGTTACTGAGTCTTTATCAACACAACTTACTTCTAGCATGAAGATACATGCTACCAACAATTAGCCATGGGCAAAAACTTATCACCAGTAAAGCTGAGTTACATTATCATGAATATTGTCTGTCGGGTGTGTTCCCTGAGAGTTTTATCATTTTCAAACTGGTAGTAGAGTATCTTTAGTATTTCAAGGTTAGTACATTAGTGAATAGTTTATACACGTTAAAGCTGATTTTTGTGTCTTGTGAGGTTATCATGGATGCTTTTATAATATCTTCAAGATTCCAAAGTTCATGAGCCACCTGCACAGAAAACAACCAATGACAAATTCACAATAAAAGTAGAAGAGATAACAAATCCCTATTCCTAGATGTAATGATTACCAAGACACCTAACACATGTATCACAAGAAATATGTAAATACCCCCCCCCCCAAAAAAAAATCACCCATTAAACAACAATTAGGATAGAATGACACCCAGAGAAGACCAGCAAGGAGTTATAACATTCTCATTTTCTGCTGTTGAAAGAGACAAACTAGTACTCCTTATATACTGCTTATGCAAAGCCTAATGATGCCCATAGTCTATAAAACCAGAAGTACAGGAAGGAGTACTAAATTGTTGGAAGTGTTCATAATCCACCAGATATTTGTTAAATATGACAGCATAAAGATAGGTATGTGAAAGTGAGCAAAGTTCTAAAAGTTAAGTGGGAAACAGCTTTACTTTGTAGATATTCATAAAGCTGTTATAGTTTCATGATTTATACAAATGTAGGGCTTACCTAAATAATTTGTATTATAAATAAAGAAATATCATTTTAATATGAAATTTAATAAAAATTGGAGAAATAATTTATTTTTTTAGTACTGAATTTAGACATTTATTTTTAATCAAATTATTCTATAGCAGTGTAGTGATAATCTGTTTGAAATTTGAGGCCATAATCTGTTTTTTTTTAGTATTTTTTTGTAATAGAAATGCAAGTCTAATTTGCAGATATGTTTCTTTAACTGCCTTTTAAGTTTCAAATGAACACTAATTAAAACTCATATTTTATGAGCAACATAGTAGTATATTTAATTGTAATTAAAGTTTCTTCCCAGATTTACCACAAGTGAAAACTAAAGATGTTTTATGATTTGTGCAATTATCCATAATTAAATCAATATATAATATAGAACTGAGCCCCAAATTTTAAAATGTGAAATATTTTAGAAGATAATATTAGTAAGTTATTTATTTCAAGCTAGTTGAGTTTATAACAATGGTGAAGATACATCAATCTCTATGGTTTGGAGATAAATCGGTTCTTCAAATCAAAGTTTAACATAAGAGCAATTCAATTTAAAAGTTGTGATTATAATCAAAAACTAGGGGAAAACGTGTGCTTCACATACAAAACATTTTCTTGGTTGTGGTATTTTGTATTTAGATACACAAAGTTTATAAAATTTAAAGGCAGTGCTGTGTATTTAAAGTAATTAAAAAGTGACTTGCCTAGACTATTCAGGTATGAGGTTAGGTATGTAGAGTTAGAGTTCTGAATGAACCTGATGGCTGTGCAGGGCATCTCAATTACTGCAAGGTTAAACCTATTCCACAACATGTGATACCCACCAAACACCTCTAGTACAAAAGACACTTTGAACTGAATAGTCTGATCAAAAATGACAAACTGATTTACTTATTTTGTAAAAGACACCAGATTTAGCAAAGCTTTCAAAAACCTGGGTGTCGGGGGCAGGTATTACAATTCAGCAGGGTGACAGTACCAGTGTCAATAAACAAATTAAGAAATTCACACACAAAACCTTAAAACATAAATACTACTGTCTGAGGTGGGGCTTTGAGGGATGACATATCCATTTCCCCAAAACCTTTCCCTTTGCAATGCATAGCACTATATCCACCTACCTCTCCCTTATGCATATGGTGATGTCATCTGTATTTCCCGACTCCTAATTTAATTTTTGCATACTTTAATGAAGTTTAAAAAGCTCGTCATACATGCACATTACTCTTTTAATTATATAAATATATATAGATGTATAAAATAAAAACAAAAAACTGTGGTACCCATAACTTTTTTAATGTCAATTTAATTTTATATTAAGATTCAGTTTAAAGCAAAAGTGGATCTAAAAGACAATGACATGATTTATGCTTTCTAATTACATCATTGTTTACTTCATGCTAAATTTGGGCTTGTTTCCAACATGCAAGCTTTAAAAGACCATAGCTGTGGATAATAGACCTGTTACTTCCAATGCCATTACTTTATGTGTGATAGATATTATCAGACAAATATGAAGCAATTTCATGTTAGTATAGTTACAGCAACATTGTGTCAGAGGTGATGCTTTTCAATTTGAAACTTTAAGTGTATGAAACAGTAATTATTCAAAAAAAATTGACCCATAAAGTAAAATATAATGGTGTTACCAATTATAATAGCAAATTGATACTGATGAAATTAAAAGGCCTTACAAGGCCCCTTACAGAGGGCTTTTTTGATCCAGTGACATAAAAGATAAAACAGTAACATTTGATCCAGTGACATAAAATAAGGTAATTGTCCACCGTTATTAAATATAATGTACTTATGTAACCTGATAGTGTGGTATTTCATGCTAAAGATTTAAGATAAACCATCCTTGCATAATTTAAGGCTGTAAAATTTGGTGAATGGAAAATTGTGTAGGAACAAGTGGTGAAGAGATGAGAAGTCTGACAAGCTTGCATTAACATTCCAAATCATACAATCTCTTCTTATGCAGGAGTGATTTATTTCTCTTTCATATAATCTATATTATGGAAAAACCATAACAGATAAAGGGAGCTTGGTTAATATATTAAAGTAGTATTATTTATTTCATTACATTTTGCTATATACCTAAATATAAGCAAAGTCATGAAATTGGAATGATTCAATGAATATGAATGTAGTTATTTTCAAGCATAAATTTCTGAAAAATTCTATGCCAGTATTTAATATACGTTCAGGGTGAATTTACAAAAATTTGTCAGACAGTAGAAGCTAAAGATAAAAGTCATGTAAAAAAAAGTAAAAACTCGATAAGTTAGAAAGCAAGAGTAGCTTGTTTGCTTGCAAAGAGTTAATTTGCATACTTTCTTATTGTCTGTCAGTGTACAGGCTGTCAATATAGCTTAACTATATCCTTGCACTTACCAGGTTTTATCCAGATATCAAAGCTCTGTCCAATTCTTTGTTCTGTTTTATGTGTATGACCTTAATTCATTTATATAATGTAAATAAATGAAAAAAAAAATGCAATTAAAGAGCATTTATTTTTGTAGTTTCATAATTTTCATGTATTATATTTCTCAAATTGGCAGAGCATTATACATTATAGTAAGACTGATAATTTGAATTACAGCTATTTTTACTGATATTGTTAATATTAAAGCCACTAAAAGTTAACACTTTTTTCCAACTAACATTTTATGCATTGTAACTTAACCAGCCTGATAAACAAAAATTCTCATTGGCAGCAGCATGCAAGAAACAAATTGTGACTTATAAACTATTATACACTAACCTTAATGGAAACGTAAAGAATTAGTAGAGAAAACGTTCTGTGTATGTAAGTAATGCACTATATTTTACCCTTATTTGAAAACCAGTGTAAAAATAGTTAAGTAACATAGTCTGAAGTATGCAACAGCCACACAACCTAGTTAAATAGCTTTATATAAGTTTGTGGGAATCATGCAAAATCT